AATTTTGTAAAGAAAAGGAAATGTAGGTAACAAATAAAGTGAAAATAAATGAATAACTGAATACAAAGCACATATGACAACAACAACATCAACGTTTGTTTAATGCAAAAGCAGTTGTTTTATCAAAAATTAATAATTAAAGATTKCGAAATACTGAAATAAAGAAAATAAAATATGAAGGAATTACTGAAATTCATAAAAATACATTTCAATAAAAATATGACTTTATTCAAATCTTCAAGGTTTTTGATTTTCATACATATATGTATTTATAAGATATTTTCACCTAATTGTGTTTAGGCAGAATATTTTTATATGGTTATCATTCATATACTTGTATAATAAAATTACCAGTATAATGTAGGTAGTGGTAGTGGAACATACATTTATACATAAGTGCGTTTCAAAAAACTAGCTTCTGAAATACGCTGTTTTTCCCAATAGTCATAGTTGGTAACGCAAAATAATCAGAAGGTCAAAAGGCAGTTGGCAACACATAATGAAAAATACGTTATATGTGCAAGGTCGCGTGATTATCCGATAGTTTTGCATTTTTATTGGAATTGAGGATAAAGCAAATGCGCCAAAATTGTGTTAAGATATATGAAATATATAAAATTACTTTAAAATTGTTCCGTAACAAAGATTTTTGTTTAGAAGACGGCAGTGGTTCGGTTTATATTACCCAAGTATTCAAATATTTCGGAATATACAGTTTGATTTGTTATCAAATATAAAGCTGTTGTTAGGATTTCCAGGCTAAGACTAAAATATATAAAATTTTAAGCCCATAACTACTTTTATTGAATAATCAACGATGGATTCAGATTAATCACTTTTGGTTGACATCAATGGAAAAATAACCAGTGAGAACTGGATGAACTCGACATAACAATGGTAATGATAAAATGCAATTTAATTTATAATATCAACCTCAAGATAAATATATTTACTACGCTCAATTGTTGTATCGCCATCTTTCGTTGCCTTCTCTACAATTTTAACTATCCTTATTGAAATGAAACAGATGTGAAAAATGTGACCAGTAAGTTGCTAATCCAATATTCTTGAATTTTTATAACATAAACGAAATGTCAACGGTACATTTCCAAGAAAAACAAAAATAAATTWATTAACCACTTCCGGCTGCATCATTGCGTCTGTATATCCGTTTACCGGCACCGATAATTTATGTCTGCGGTGTTTTACCACTATACATGTCACGCAATCTTGTGCATCGTTTGAAAATTACTACATTTCTATTCATTTAAACGATGAAAGAAAACTTAACAAATTCACCTACTAGTGCTTTGCATGTTTGGAAAATCTGATCATAATTAAGTTATTTGTACTCGCCAGAAAAATGGAAACTACATATGAATGGAGACAACGGTAAGGTTAGTAGAAATTCGTAAATAAAAATTAGATCACTCAAATCTTTATGCACAAATTCACAGATTCTTGTTTTTTTAAAGAAATTTATCAAAGAAAAACGTCTAAAGAGTAATTTAATAGTGCGATTATGCACATAGTTGAAAAATGCTATATGATTTCTTGAAACCATATCCCATAATATAAGTTTTAGTTTATTATTGATAATGCAATAGGAGTTGGCGCATTATGTTGTTTATGGAAATGGGATCTGCGGTGAGAAGACGATTGCAAAGTTCAATGGTCTTTTGACATAAATGGTGTCAAGTTGAGCCAGGACCAAACGGACAAGCCAGTTACGAATGAAAACGAAGCAATACTCTACTCACACGTGCTTGTGCCTACCCACCCTTTAGCTGCTGTATCGACTTATTTTTGTATATATGTGCATATGGTATTTAGGTGTAACATAGGTATTTAGGTATATCCATATCTATAAGTATTTTTATAGTATTGCCGACAGTGCCATCCAAAGTTTTGTAAATTGTTATTAATATATGTTTCTATTTCCAAACATTACATATTTTGCATACATATGTTTATTTACTACAAATAAATGAACATATTCGGAAGTACATGAGCGTTTGTACATTCATTTACATATGTATAAAAATTCAACTTGTCTATTTAACGCATGCATTGCTCTCGCGAAATACCGTTATATAGAAATATAAGTATATATAGATTTTTGTGTACATATACCTTTAAAACATTTCCAGATGTTGACAATATTCTCCGGTTTGTGTTGTTGTGAACCTACCACAACAAAATTACTCCTGCGCTTGTACCAGTAAGAGAAAAATGACAATTGCAGTTCCTTATTGTATACGATGTGCATGCAAAAATGCATGTGTTAGTGTGTTTAATCCGTGCTGAAAAGATATAAAATTTCGCGATTTTTAGGAATATGTTAGGAAAGTGTAAGGTTTTTGGCTATAAATCGACTATATTAATTTTATAGTTCCTTAAAAGTAAACATATAGAAATTTATTCTTAATAAACAATATACTAGTATATACTTTACTTATCATTTTGTCTTATTCAGATATAAATTTTTGATTGTACATTTGTTTAAACTGAATACAGAATAGTATGCCAACTTAGCCCACTGTGTGCTTCTGAGTTTATTTAGCGATATATATTTTTTGTGTTATGTGCATATTCCGTGAACTCCTTTTCATATGTCCTGTTGCCTTGTTGTTTTCCCACCTCCTACTCTGAGTTTCCTCGTTGATGATGCTTTCATGTTCGGTATATGCATTTTTATCCTGAAAGCAGTAAGCGGTTGCCTTTAATCATTTAGTTCTTGCACTCTCCAACAGCAAGTTGTGTTTCTCTGTACGCAATTTAGGTTCTATCAAATCAAGTAGGATGTGTATTCTTTAAAAATAAATTAATTAAAAATGAGAAATCATAGTTTGAAAGTATATATAGTAGTTACCATTACAACAACTTGAACATTATGTTTGAACATTAAAGCTTCGAAAATAAATGAAGTTTCAAACACGGAAGGTGTACTTAACAAAAAAATTGTGATTAGAAGCCATATTAATTAATTAAATACGTGTTTTTTAAAGTTGTATGGCAAGTTTTACAATGAATTACGAAAAGTAATTGATAGTAATATTTCATTCATTTATGACCGTAGTACTTTTAAGATATATTTATTTTCAGTGAAATCTTATGCACTAAATGGTGAGATATTAAGGGCGTTTTCTGCACTTTGCAATAATCGCAATTGATTTTCCGCAAAAATTTGAATTTCCCCATTGTAAAATGCATTCGCCAAAACCAAATATACTAATGCATTAATGCATACATGTATTGATGCGAATGTATACGTTATTAGAAGTAAAGTCTGCTCGGTAATTTATTTTTATAAATTTGAATATGCACGATTGCGGTTTATGCTCTTCTGAATTTGTATACATTCCAATTCAACTAAAATTTATTGCAATTGCATTCTTTTATAAGCAAATTTTTCCACAAATAAATTGACGAGCTTCCACAATTTGCAGCTGATTGTGATTACTATGACCTACCCGTCCATGCCAATTCTGCAGATAAAGCACTATTTTAGGCGTTGAAGAAGCCAAGAGAAAATTCAATTGTTCAAATACATACAATAGTGGCAAAATTAACGGAATTCCCAGTGAACAGCTGCTGGTAGCTTATAATGTATGTGTCTTTGAAGTTTCTAACATTGCCGCACCCTAAAAAGTTTAAATCGTGAACATCAGAAAAAGTATTAAGGTACTAGTTATATGGTAAATAGGTTCCATTTGCAATTTTTACTTGTTTTTTTTAATCGAGTACACATTTTACTTTAATTCTAATAAATAAAGATAGGAATAACTTTATGTATATACCGGCATATGCATTATGGATTTATTTATTTACGTTTGGGGGGCGGAATATGTAATATAAGATTTCATAATAAATAATATTAATATAGTTTCATGAATAAATAATGTTATTTGAATATACAGTGATTGTATGCTATCATCTGGTATCTGGTATCTGTTTGAGATATGAATATAAGTGGGTGGGGCTGGTGTATAAATGTAAACGAATTATTTTGATATACTACATGTATATGTGATACTGATATGGTATATTGCAATTTTTACATTCGTAGTAATTTTACTTCATGTGAATTGCTTTACAAGATGTATTCGTATGAATAATTTAAACTTATTGTGTTTTTAACGGTATAAAATATTTTATCTCATTTAGCATCAGGATATGCTAGGATATCTAATAATGTAATACCGGCAATTAAAATCTCGAAATTCAGAATTCCGRCAGTCAAACTACCGAATTTAGTACAATTTTACACCGTATTAGTATTAGACTATTTGAGTTATCACAATTATATTATCATAAGCATGTAGTTAGACATATGTATGTCGGCTAGGTTCGATCTTAAAAATAAGTTTTGTGTTCTTAGATGCAAGCTAAACTTCATTGCYATCCAAGTCTCTCAAGGAGGGGCGAAGTCCAGGAATTGTGTTATTTGTATATAATTTTCACTAATTACATATGTAAATTGTAATATTATATATTTTTTATCTTTTAATTAATATGAAATTATTTTTTTACTTCTATATATGGATTTCTTCTCTCTCCTCTCTTAATTTCGAATATTAAAATTTCTTTGAAGCCTGCGCAGTAATAATTATATTTACCACTAGTTCAATGACTATCACCCTACACTCTTTACAATATTACATGAATACCAACACAATCTCTCACGCAAACTGGCTACAATACTTTTCTCTACAATGCCTATAAAAATGTTTAAAAGTTTTCATTAGGGACTTTAGTTTATTTCCGTTCGGTTGAGTTGAAGGAAGGACCGTATTCTTTTCTACTTTGAGTTGATTTTTCCTTAATTTCATTTGCGTTTGTGTTCTACATTTTCGTTTTGTACTTCGGTTCGGTTTTTATATAAAAAATGCAATAAATAAATAATAAACATTAAAGGAAATTATTAATTAAAAAATTCATTTACTTAATTTATTTCCCGTTCTACTCGATTTTGTGAAAACGCTTTTATGAAAATCAATGGAAGAGTTAGTAAAATAATAATTTTTCTAGGTATAAAATAATGGGTTACACTTTTTATAATCAACATTTTAGTTAATTCAAAAATAATCTATATTATTTAATACTACAAATTGTGTTTGGCGCTACTACGGATTTTCTATTCATGGCTAATGTGTTTCGTAATCGCAAAAATTTAGTACCAATTCAATCTTTTGAAAAATTGCGAAAATAATTTTTGCTATGCACATTTATTTAGCTTTTCGGTTTTCCGCCTACCTAATTGTGCTGTATATAGTATATGTGATGAACTACCCAAATTGGATTAAAAGAAAACTAAATAAGGGTTATTAAAATTTATATGTACATGGAAAATAAAGAGGATTATTATTATTTGCTGAAAAGAAGTCTAATTAAATATTTTTGCCTTAAACATTATATATATATATATATGTACATATATCATTATTCAAATCCAAATTATTAACAGAATATGCGATCGATGTATGTAAATATATGATGTTGCATTTATATTTGTCTGAATAGACCAAAGACATCGGGATTGCAAAAAATGTAGTATTTTGCCGCTGAAAATGTTAGAATCGGCTAAAAATATGCATGTGTTGTCTATCCATAAATATCCACAAGTCAATATATTTCAACATATTTGTATGTATATAAGAATATGGTCGACTAGAAATGGCTTCTCGTAATTGAGGCAATTGCTACGCCACCGTCCGCTACAACCAATACAGACGAGCGATAAATATTGCTCTTGCTGCAAACTTATAAACAAAGTAATTACCGTTATTTACAAACATAACTACTTTCTTATAACTTTCTTTAAAATTTTAAAACAAAAATCAGCTGCCGTTACTTTTCCCTTTCTTGATTTTCATATTTTATGATCCATGAAAACATCGGGAAAGATCTGCAATATATGTATATCATACACACCTAAGCGAAATCTGTATTTTTTCTACTGTATATCTGTATATAATCTGTTTTTTCTTTTTTGAGATTATAATGTATCTTTTGGATTGCTGTTTTGTGTCTGTATTGGCCATGTGTCTGCATATAATTTAATGAAAAAATTCTTGTATTTACGATATTATCCGAGATTGGGATATTCGGGTTTCAGCTGCCATTGTAGCCATTGACAAGCACAATCCCAAAGTTTAAAGAAATAGTCTATATTTAGTTAAGTTGATCTTTCATTCGAATACTGATATTTTTAAACTGCCACCACCATGTTATGTAGTTTCGAGTAGAAACGAATTTTTTCGTAATCAATGGAAATGTAAAAGCATGTTGTTTTATATTTGAGGACCCAAAAGTTATGTAACAATATTTACTTTAGTTTTTAAATCAAAAATACTAAAAGTGGTAATTTTATATACATTTTAATCTCAACGCTCTTAGTCTGATGAGATAGAAAACCGGCTACATTGTGCAAACTATTGTTTTCATCAAACAAGTAACATAGCGAGCCAGAAATTATAGAGAAATATGCAAGATCGAATTGGATAACCTTTTCATTTCGTTTGCTATTATAAAAAAAAAGAAACAASATAAACGTTAACATACTTTTCACAAATAAAAAGTTTTCATATAGGAATTTGGTTTTGATCGGTTAATTTGCATGGGGGTTACATGCTATAGAGGTCCTATATCGGAGATTCCGAGAAATTTGCAACTTTTGGGGAGAAATAATGGTATGACAATTTTCCAAGTGATATTTCAAAAACTGAATAACTATTTCGGGTATATACATACATAGTCTGATGAGATAGAAAACCGGCTACATTGTGCAAACTATTGTTTTCATCAAACAAGTAACAAAGCGAGCCAGAAATTATAGAGAAATATGCAAGATCGAATTGGATAACCTTTTCATTTCGTTTGCTATTATAAAAAAAAGAAACAACATAAACGTTAACATACTTTTCACAAATAAAAAGTTTTCATATAGGAATTTGGTTTTGATCGGTTAATTTGCATGGGGGTTACATGCTATAGAGGTCCTATATCGGAGATTCCGAGAAATTTGCAACTTTTGGGGAGAAATAATGGTATGACAATTTTCCAAGTGATATTTCAAAAACTGAATAACTATTTCGGGTATATACATACATACAGACATAGTTGAATCAACACAGTTTATCTCGCTGATCATTTATACATACATATGTGTATATGTATATATTTTCTAGGCTCTCTGACGTTTGCTTTTGGGTTTTGTAAATTTCGCGGCTTGTTAGTTATATAGGTCTAGGTTGGCCAATATATGCGGTATAAAATCAACTGGAAGTTCGAAAACCTTTATGTTAGGTATACGATGGATAAGGGAAGTACTATATTGACCATATTCAACCCATTTGTAGCACTACTGTACTACTATCAGGAAATGTTTCTCTCTCGATTTACGATTCAAATGGAAGTTAAAACTGTGTTATTTGGGAAATCTGCGTGGCTGTATTCCGATTTCACTAATCACTTTGGAATGCCCGCAGTACCGTTATGAGGAGTGAGTGGGGTTATCATCCGATTTCATTTATTTTCACACTGTCGGTAGGAGTGYTATAGTATTAGCGCTAGTTCAATTTGTGGTAGTGGCTTAAGAGTATGTATTATACATAAAACTTATTGGAGAGCAGGGCCACGTCCACAAAATTTTTTGTTCACACATGCTCTTTACTACAGCGATCCTTTGTGCCAAATTAGAGTTTTATATCTTAAGTTATCCATTCTCAGTTAACGGCGTTTTGTCGTGTGGCTTAGTCCCATTATACCCGTCTATGAGCTCGTACTTTTGGTTTTGCCAATGAACACGCACACAAATTTTTACTCAAGTTACAACTTGCGTAGACGGACGAGCGAACAGGCAGACAGTTACCCGGATTTCAACTCGTCTCTCCATCCCTATAACTATCTCGATTAGTTTTAGGTGATAATTAGGACACAAAAAATAACAAATGTAGATTGCAAATAATTTAAGTATTGTATTTTGTTATAAAAGTGTTAAATCATTGTGCTTCGTTTTAAAGTTTCGTTATTTTTAAATATTTTTCAGTGCTGCGGTATTGCATCTATAAAGGGTGTCAACAAACAAGTTATTAACATACAAAAGAAACAAACCATCAGTATTATTGTTGAGGAACTAAAAGAAAGGTTTATTCGGGACTTCGTAATCAAAAACATAATTTTCTTAATTTTATATTTATAATTTGAAAGCTTTTGAACACTAAACGTTATTTGTTAAATTATATATTCTTCGTTCCTGTGCCATTTGTGTTTTGGACGAAACGAATATCCCATATTTACAATATATTTGTCACTAAATGATGACTACCAGCTCTAATAGCAACAACATGGTTGAAAGTCAACAACAGCAGCAAAACGGCAGTAGCAGTCTCGGTGCTGCTACCGGGAGCGGCGCAGTAACAGCAGCAACGGCTACCGCTAATGCTGGTAGTAATAACAATAACAATAATAATACAAGTGCTAACAACAACAACAATAATATGGATAACGACTCTAAAACAAATTTGATTGTGAATTATTTACCCCAGACGATGTCTCAAGAGGAGATTCGGTCGTTATTTGTTAGTTTTGGGGATGTGGAGAGTTGCAAACTGATTAGAGATAAAGTTACAGGTGCGCAAATAAAATATATTCATATATTAACATATAGAATAATTTGAATATTTTCCCTATGGTGCGGCAGGTCAAAGTCTCGGGTACGGATTTGTAAATTATATAAAACAAGAAGATGCTGAGAAGGCAATAAGCTCACTCAATGGCTTGCGTTTACAAAATAAAACTATTAAAGCAAGTTATCCACCGTTTCAGAGATGGGTTGCATAAAAGTACTAGTTCTACTATATTTAAATTTTTCTTTTTTACGCAGGTTTCAGTAGCCCGTCCTAGTTCAGAATCAATTAAGGGTGCAAATTTATATGTTTCTGGTCTTCCCAAAAATATGACTCAACCAGAACTCGAAGTACTATTCAGTCCATATGGCAAGATAATTACCTCAAGAATTTTATGCGACAATATCACAGGTGGGATTTCATGTTTATATTATTAACATTATTAGTTTTATTAGCAATATTACACACAAATTTTATACAAAACTTTAATATTTTAGCATTATTTTACGTCCATGAAAACAACTATTTTTTCTTTTACCTTTTTAAGGTCTATCGAAAGGTGTTGGCTTTATTCGTTTCGATCAACGTCATGAAGCTGATCGTGCTATAAAAGAGTTAAATGGAACTATACCAAAAAACGCCACCGATCCTATTATTGTTAAATTTGCCAATAACCCCAGTAATAATAAGTCCTTACAACCACTGGCTGCTTATTTAACGCCACAGACTGCCAGAGCACGCGGTTTTCCCGCCGCCGCAGCGGCAGTTGGCGCAGCTGCTGCAGCGGCGGCTATACATCCTTCGGCAGCAAGCCGCTACAGGCAAGAATAGTCCTGCTATGTAAACAAAAAATTGTATCGTACATAATTTTTCTCAATATATTTCACTTTTGTCAGCTCGGTGATTTCACGTTATTCACCTTTGGCTGGTGATCTTTTGGCGAACACAATGCTCCCGGGGAATCCCATCAACGGTTCCGGATGGTGTATTTTCGTCTACAATTTGGCACCAGAAACTGAGGAGAATGTATTGTGGCAGCTATTTGGCCCATTCGGTGCCGTGCAATCAGTTAAGGTGAGTTATAATTCCATTACATAATGTCTATTCAACTTGTAGGTATATTTAATTAATGTTCGAATTATTACTTCCGTTGTGGTAGGTTATACGTGATCTGCAAACCAATAAGTGCAAAGGTTTCGGCTTTGTCACTATGACTAATTATGAGGAAGCTGTTGTCGCCATACAATCCCTCAATGGATATACATTGGGCAACCGTGTACTTCAAGTCAGCTTTAAGACGAATAAAACAAAGCAAACGTAATTATTAACGAAAATAACTGCTGTTATGAATGCCACCGCCACCAATACAATAAACCTAACAACAACACCGACACCACCCCCCCTGTTCAATTCCAACACCACCAACAAGAACAAGAACAAGAACACCACAACCACCACAACCACAACCACCACCAGTTTCAGTTTCAACTCCCTTAACAGCACTGAATTGATGTTGATGCATTTGAATGGCGGTGGTAGTGGTAGCCGTAAAACGAACAACAACAACACTAACCAAACCAACAAACATAACACCAACAGCAACAGCAACATCAATGCCAACAGCGGTCAGCACAATAATAGTAACAGGCTGCAACATCAGGGCCAGCAACATACTAATCGTAAAACACAGCAACTCCCCACGGCGGCTACARCAACAAGAGCCACTGATTTGCAATCACTATTGAATTTGCCACCACCACAAACCCCACATCAAGCAGCGGCAGCCGCGGTCGCAGCAGCAACAATTGCAAATGCAGCTGCAGCCGTATCGATTAGTTCATTTGGTGCCAATGGTTGTAATCAGCGAACAGGTGCTGTATCTATGGCAGGGCGCAATCCAATACCTACACCACCTCAGACACAGGCTCTCATAAAGACAGCAAGCAAATTTATCTACAACAAGCCACGCAATCACTTTGAGTTATTACAACAGCGTGTGCAAATGCAACAAGAATTTGCACATCTTCTTACGAGTGTTGCTGCGAGTAGTGCAGCTGCAGCTGCAGTCCAACAACATACACAGCATCGCGGTCGGGGCGCAGCGGGAGCAGCAAACAACAACTTCGCCGGCACATCCATCAGTAACACTCGTGCCGCGCAAGCTGCAGCAGCAGCCGCAGCAGCTGCAAAAAATTCACTTTCTTCCCTTTTACCTTATTCGAATTGGTTCTTTTAAGTTATACTTATGTTATTTCTATTGGAGTTTCTTTATTAGTTTTAGGTACAAAATGTTAATTATTAACAAATTGAGTTCTTGAATTTTAATCACTTACGTTTCTTTGATTATAAGATGCGTTCGTTATTTATTGCGGATATGCAATATTTAGAGAGGTAATATAATTGCTTAAGAGCTTTCGGGAATTAACGCTTAGCCAATAATTTTCAAGATGATATAATTATTGATATTGATATCGTGCTGAAGTTACAATTCTTATTGTTGAAAGAATCCAAATTGCTTTTGTTTACTTTTCGTCACTATTACYTACAGTTTAAACTTAGGTGATTCGAGTACTGTTTTTAACTTTGACTACTGAATATTAATATACATACATATATATTTACTGTTTCTTTTATTTTATAGTATTTTGTAAGAATTGTTATATTTGTTTAATATGGAATTACTTAAACTGCTTTAATCGATCATGATGCAAAATTTTATAGATACACCTTTGAAATAAGTTAAGATTTGGAGAATAACGAGCGTTTCAAACTAATTATTTATTCACAATAGTAATAATTTTTAGCAAAGATTTGTAAATCAAAGTAGTTATTAATTTTTTCCTACAACAAATATTTCGAAGTTACTTCAGTTTCATCCAATTGGTTTAAAACATTATTTGCATAGATTGATATTATTTTATTATTTAAAGTTTTCTTTATTAACATAAAATGTATTTCACTTGCATCGTACATCATCTAACCTGCATATGAGCCGAAAAGATTTATAACATTCTTAAAATTAAAGTTTTTACAACAAACTATGTATGAAATCGCCACATCTTCTTTTGCTACATTTTTTAACAAGTGAGTATATACCCATAATTCGAACGCATTTTTAMATTTTTTGAAAGCATACAAGTATAAAATCCTAGTTTTACAACTTATAAATCAGACAGTTTGTTCATAATGCCATACAAAATTTACAAAATGTTAAACGTATTGCAAAATATGTATAATACGGATATAGTAATTGTACATATTTGTTAGTGCTGAAAGTATTTTTAGAATTATATTGAATAAGGTGTTTGAAATCACATAATTCGAATATTTATGTTTTTCTTCGGTCTTGTATAATGAACATAAAGTAGCTCCCAGTTCTGACTATTAACAATTTGCAGTATACTACATTACAATCTATGATATTCAAATAAATTTTATACATGTACTTGAAAGTAATTTTATACATTTAAAGATGTATTTGAAATAAAAAAAAGTGCATAACCAAAATAGGCAATTACTACAGCATTAATTTTCAATGAGAAAATTAGTCTAAACTACCTGCGTTAGTTAATACAAATTACCTATTTGTTTTGCATACGAGAGTTATACCTACGTTTTTCCAGGATTTTCAGTACTGTTTTTCCCTGTTTTTTTAAATTAAAAAAAAAAAAATTCTAAACCAATTTTGTTAAAGTTGAGTCAAATACAAAGTAATGAGAATATATATATTTATGAATAAATAATAGGAAGGAACTATACTATACATATATTTTTTACAATTATAAAAATACATGCTTATGGATATGTCAACCAAACCATTCCTGTTTTTATAATCCTTGCAAATCATTTTGAAAAGTGATAACAATAGTTTTTTTGTTCCTGTATGTATTCATTTCCAAAGTTATTGAGTTTTAATTTATAACATTTGGAAACGTAGTCAGAGAAAGAATACCACATGAAATTCACAAAATGAGGAAATCTGTATGATTAAAAAATAAATTCTACAAATTTCAAAGTACAGTTTCGGAAGGTAATAAAGACGTTTTATTTCAAGATATTATTTCTCTAGATAAAAAGTGTAATTTGTAATTTCTTTAATTAAACTTGTGAAGAGTCGATTTCAACAACATCTATTCTTCATTTGATATAAAAACTAGAAAGTGATACACACTACAATGGACCTAATTTATGTAAGTACATTTGTATTTTGCATATACAAAATAATTGGTACTCACCTTAATTTTTGTATTATTAAATACCATACCTTTTTATACATGCGCAATTAAAATCAGTTTTCTTCCCGCCCTATGTTAATTATATTTAATAATTATGTTATGTGCATATACACCTCACCTCACATAGTTTACTTATATACGTACATATACATACACACATATTAAAAAGTATCACAATTATTTGGCTTTGTGAGAATCCCGATTGTGCAAAGCATTAACATTGTAATTTGTTTTAACTGCAATGTGACTTACTTCAAACGATGTGTCCAAGAAACCTGGAAGAAGATTTAAATTAACTGCAAATTGACAGCAGAAGTACAATAACAAGTGAATACGAATAAGGGGTTGTTATTATAATTTATTTATATTTATTAATAATCATATTTTCTTACTTTTTTAATTAAAACATAGTCTTCACTTTTTTGTATACTTAGTTTCTTGTAAAATTGGATAGAATCATTAAAACGTACTTAAAAATTTCGAATACAACGAATGAAAGTTTGTGAGTTTACAAGAAGCAAAGATACACCGAATTCATCCGAAACTCAAAGCGAATACAACCGGAGGATGCTTTGTTTAACAAATACTGTATGGTTTAGGAGGTATTTAATAAATATAAATTAAATACTTATTAAAAATAGCTAAGTTTTAAAAGACGCTAATAAATATAAATACCACGAGAGTAATATACGAATATGTAATAAAAGTTAGCAATGAAAATACAAGACAAAAAAGAGCACCAAGATAAAAGAGATGATTTAAAATTTAATATTAGAGAAAACKAAAATCAGGAAGTGCAAACATAAAATTAAAAGGGTTTTGAAAACATTTTAAAATTTCTATAATTTTATTTTAATACATTTTAATTCACAACGTTATAAGTTGCTACTCAAAAAAACAGGATTGTCAAAATATCTCAAATGAAGAAGACGTAACTACAACGTATACTTTTCATGCACTTGTATAACATAAAGAATTATTTGCTTTGTCTTTTTCACATACTGATAATAATATGTACTATAAAGTATWCACGCTTATAAATCACTATAATACGCAAATTTAAAATGTCGGATGCAAGTTTAGAACTTCTTAATAGATTTCCGACATAATAATTCACTTGCTGGAGTTTCCATATGTGGAGTAACATCAAGGTGTATGCTCCAAATAGAAGAAGTTCTTTAAAGCATATGTATATATACGTGGTAATTCACATACTTGTATATATACATATTTKTATGTATACAAATAGTCGACTTAAGCAAAAACATGTGTTGTGAATAATCGTCGTGTTATTGTCTTATATTTTTCACTGTTATATGTAACTAACATTCCTCTATAACAAATTATTACAAATAGAAATACTATTAAAGACATACAATTTCAAATTATTCAGACGAAAATACTAAAGTTAAAGAGGCAAAATCATCTTGAACAAGTAGTTAATAAATTTATATCCCAAGCACATAGAAATTTTAAAACTTATCTATCAAGCAAAATTAAATAGTTACTCTAAAAGTATTTAATAACTTAAACTTTAAGCTCGGCGGTTTTTTTTACATATGTAAGTTCCCAAAACTTTCTTATGGCATTTAAAAACTCAGCCTACCGAATGTACGTAATACTATTTTCCTCAATAACCAAAAAATGAAGTTATCTTTAGGCAATGATTTGTTATATATATAAATATATGTAAAACGAGCCAAAGGTTCAGTATTAAAAGCATTTTGATATCACCTATAAACTATCCTATTGACGTTGTGTGTTTCAGTGTTTTAATATAACATTTGCTGAAATAGTAGCAGGGGAATTTGATTGTAGAAATGATTATGAAATCTAATCTTTCAATAAATTCTATGCTATTGGCTTGCATAATTTGTTAGTTTATAAAAATAAATATACAGCTAGTTACAATCAATTGCTCATAAATAGTTGAATGGGCAGGCAATAAGGTCCCATTTTCATTAATAAAAATATAATRGCGAGTATACGTATGTAAGTATGTATATTCAATATACAAAAGCAGATACAACTGTTGCAGAAGTATGTTTATTACACAAAATAAGAATTATGAGATGGAAATACGAAATAGTAAATAACAAATCGTACAATAATCCAGACATGTGTATTTGTATAGAATTTTTTACTTAATTTTACAAGTTTCTAAAATAAATGGTTAAGGAGAAAAATATGAATATGATAAGTTAAGGAAATAACATTAACAAAAATGATGTTAGATAATATAAAATGAATGCATGCATATACAAAATAGAAATCGTTAACATAGCAAAAAGTCGCATATCTTGAAGTAAATAATTAGCGAAGAATCATATACGACCGCATATGAAACTAACGTAAAAAATATACAAAGAAAATTAAAAAAAAATATGGTAATTTAAATTTACCATATACAATGTGACAACTTGTTATTATAAATGTTCACTTTTGTACTTTTACACCGCATACAAAAAACAGGAACAAGAAAAACGAGACAACAAAAACATCCAAATCTTAAGATGAAATTAATTATTTAATTTCAATAAATTAAAAACTAACTAATATTGGGAAGATATGCAACTGGATATAAATATTCTTATGTTTATGACAAATTTTGAATAGATGAGCTTTTTTCAAAATTTATACCCAGAAGAGAATTTAAAATGAGTTTAATTTTTTTTGATTTATTAGAGACTATAATAGACAAAATGATTATTGGGAATTTTTTCTATATTAAAATGTCTTTAAATA